CACAAGACCGAAAGCGACCTGCCTTGGGCGCGGGGTTTGACACAAGACACACTGGCCCGCCTGAGGTCCAAGAGCTCTCGATACGACAGGCCGAAGACGTCCGACCCGTAGGCGGCGCCAGCCAAAGGACCCGCAGCGAAAAGCCGAACGCACCTCCGACCAAGAACGCCCGCATGTCTCCCGAGCCTGCGGGTCCTACGCAGAGAGGCAGCAATGCGTGATTTGAGCTTGGCCGCACGGCCTCTGCCAGGGGCACGCAAAGATCTACCAGCGGTGTAGTCCACGCCGAGGTTAGTGAACCTGCCCCAATCAGAGCCAACCAACGGACCCAGGGAAGAAAACAACGCACACGAAACCTCTTTCGAGCTGCAAGCCATTCCTACTTTGTCCATGGCGAGCTTGCACCCCAAAACTTCAGTGACAGCGCAGTGAAGAGCACGAGCTCCCGCCACGCGTCGCTTGACGACCACCTTAGCAGTGCCGGTGCAGCTAAGGCTTAGGTCGTCTATGTACGCGTCAAAATCTGTGCCAATCTCCCTGGGGATGCTGTCGAAGCTCTCCATAGCGAACACGCGGATGAAGGTGGTCGCAAAGGAGCAGCCCGCAATGAGGCCGCGGATGACAAAGAAGGGCCCGTCCACGAACCCACCGAGAGTGAGGGACCTGGCAGACGCGCAGGCCCGAATGGCAAGCCTGGCAAGGTGGTGGGGGACACCACATTTCTTACACTTAGCATAAAAAACCCAAATCAATATGCTCGTAGTACTTGCGGAGGTCCCAGAAAATGGAAGCCGAGACCAGGCCCCTGCTGGAGCCCGACTCGGCCTTGCAGGCCTGCCTCCAAACAACGCCGCAGGCCCCGCGATTGGCCCCCGCAGCCCAGAAGTCCCCGAGGTTGCGGTCCTGCCAGCGCTGAGCCTGGACCCTGCGAGCCATGCCCCAGACTTGATACCAGCTCGGAAAGACCCCTATCGGGCGAACCCCCCCAGCCCCCTTGACCAGAAGGGCCATGGGGACCCACGGAAGCTGAAGCGGAAGGGGGCCCGTGGCCTCCATGACGAACAGCCACAGGGCCATGTTGTGCAGCGCAGTGTCACAAAGAAGAGAGTAGTGCCTGCAGTGGGAACCGTCAACACTGACGGCGCTGGCCAACTTGTATTGCATGGACAGCCTACGAGTCTCGGTGGGCTCCAGAAGGGGGCTCGGCTCCAGAAGCTCTCCAGAACAGGGACCAACACCATCACCGTTCCCCCGCGTGCTAACGAACTTGTTCGACTCGGCTCTAGGAAGGGCCATCGGGGTCAGCAATGATAGCACCGTTCGAGGAGAGGGTCGTGGAATGGGTCCATGGCTGGGGGTCCTTGGAGACAAGATGGGCTCTTTTCCCGCCTGAGTCCAGGCCCATTTTCAGCCAGTCCTTCCAAGCTTCCCTGGACTTGGACGCGGCGGTGGCCTTGGCTGACTCGCAGGCCTGATCGACCTCGCCGAGCAGCTGACTGAGGTCGTCTCGGCGACAGGCCTCAGAGACATCCTTCAAAACATCCAGGCCCGAGGCCCCGCTCTCGCAGGGCTCAGAGGGGTCCTGACTAGACCAATTTCGAGAGCATCGAGCTCAACGCGGAGGCGAGAAGCGCCAGCCGACCGCGTCCGATCGCACATGATCCGAGAAGCCAAGCCAGCGCCAGCGGAAAAAGAGATGCTGCCAGTCCGAGTGCACCGTGGCGGCCAGGTCGTCAGGAGGCGATTGTAAGCCCTTCAAGATACTGCGGCCAGCGTGCGACGAGAGGGCCAAGCCGCCCCCATCCATGTAGCGCCTGAGCGCTCGACGCTGCGCTGCCAGCCACACGATGGACCTAAGGCTAGGATCTTTTTCGTTGCCCCCAGGTCGAAGAACAGACTTCCAGTACATAGAAGGACGCCTACCTCGGGCCCCCTTGGCTTTAAGGTCGACCCCCAGGGCCCTGGCTAAATCGGCCTTGGCAGAGTTCGCCCAGAGACGGTAGCCAGGGGTCAAGAGGTCCTTCGCGGCATCTAAGTTGCCTTCCAAAACAGCACGATGAGCACGTTCCGCTATGCTGAGAGCCTCACTCCAATCCCCAGGGCAAGGGGCGGGCCCAAGGGGAGGGGCGGGGGGGGGGGATCAGGGTGGCGGCGGAAGGCGGGGGCCTTAAGCGAAGCCAGAGACCGATGGACACGGGCCGCCACAGGGCGATGTGGCGACAAACCAGCCTCGGTGGCGACTCGGACTTCTTTAAGGCACTTGCTCAAACTCTTGGGCATAACGAAAAAATCAAACACATCGGGCGGGCCCGAGCTGTGGAAGTGAGTGTGGCCACTGGCGGTAAAGATTTCCGTATCCAAGAGCTCCGAGAAGTTCGCTTGGTCCAGGGCCCCAGGGGGAGAATTGCAGTCCCCGGCAAGGCTGAACTCGCATCTGAGAGAGTCCAAAAACGTTCCAACCGTGCGCAGGATTTCCATATTCCCGCCCGATGAGTCCTTGCGAGTGGTGCAGGTAGATCGACACCACACAGAACGAAGCGCACCCTGGCACGTGGATCAATACTGCGATAGCGCGGCCATCCGCCAGCACGAGCGTGTCAGGATGCCTGTGCAAGCCGAGGCCATCCCTGACCAGCACGGAAACTCCAGAGCTAACTCCGCTTCCTTCACCAGGAAGACCAGGGGCCCACAAGGACTGCCAACCAAGACCCTTCGAGCTCTTGGAAGCCCGAGCAGGTTCTTCACAGGAGCGAAGACGGCGTTCATGGGCAATAGCCACATGGGCTGAGGAGCTCTCCAGGAAACTCTTGAGGGTGCCCCAGCGATTGCAGTTGATGGTGGCCACTTCCAACGACATATCTTCCAGGCCAGGCTCGTCCGAGCCTGGAGGAGCAGCAGGAAGCCGTCGTGGGTCGGGGGCCTGAGGAGCCCCAGGAGCACTGCAGGAGGCCTGCGGGGACCCCGGAGGACGGGGGGGGACCGTGACTTCACCAGGGCCGAGCGGGGCAGGCCAAAACTTGGTGGTCCTAGTTCTGGCGGCTCCAGGGGGACCCAGAAAGGCATTGAAAAGGCGAGTTCCAGCATGCCGAATCTTGGGCCCGATCGGGGAGACCCGAGAAGCCAAAACGTTCAATGAATCGAACATCCTGCAAGCATACGGGCCAGATCCAGGGCCCAAAGTCAGACAAACATACCCCCCTCAGGCGTCTGCCGAGGGGGGGTGTACCCGAAGCCAGTGCCGAATCGATCCTATCAGGAACATTGCCTGCTACAGCGGGCCCACTTGACTCCGAAGGCGTGGCAGCAGGAGCTCCATCGACGAGCTCGACTTCGCCAGCGTCAGGTACAGGGATGGCAGCCGCCTGTGGCCCAGGTGACGCGCTCGGCGCACTCGGGCCACTACCAGCGGCTGCCTCGCCATCGTTGCCTCGACGCTTCTTGACAGCCATCCCAGCGATGTGGGCCTGGTGCTGCTCAGTGACCGCCTTGGACTGCTCCGGCGCCCCCGCGAAAAGCTTCGCCGCCATCTCGTTGATAGACGAGGCGAAGTCGGCCGAACGCTTGGCGAGCTCCTCGCGATCCTGGGTCGACACCTCCACGTCCGCCTCATCAAAAGCCTCCAAGACATCCAGCTTGATGAACTTCGTGAAGTCCACGTTGCCGCTGACGATGTCGGCCATCTTGATGCGCCGCATGCCAGGCTGCTGCAGCACTCGTCGAAGCCTTGGTCGATTCGTTGAGCTTGGCCACCGCCTTCTGGCACTCAGCGTCAGCATCGTCCAGCGCCTTCCTGTATTCACGAACTCTGTCCGGTTGATCCTGTACTTGCTTCTGCAGCTGGAGGAGCCTCTCCAGGTCGCCCTCGCACTTCTTCTCGGCGCGGCGCACCGCCGCGTGCTGATATTGCAAGGCCTGGTGAACTTCAACTCCTGGAGGGTGCTCCAGCGCAGCCAAATGTTCCGCCAGATCTCTGTACTTCTTGGCGCTGGCCGCGTCCCCTGCTTTGTCTGACAACGTCGCCAGCTGAGAGGCCTCGTCCTTGGGCAGGGCTGGGACACGGCCAACTGGCAGCGGGGGGCCCTTGCCATGTCCACCTCCTCCACCTTTGCCGTCTCCAGCTCCAGCAGCTCGAGGGGGACCTTGGCCAGCGCAACCTCCAGCTGGCTGCCCACCAGGCTGGCAACCTCCCTTGCCGTAGCCGAACCAGGGGTCGGAGTAGCCTCGCGCGCCCTTGCCCAGGAAGTAGCCAGGAGGAGGGAACCACTGACCGCCATAACCATATTGCACACAAGGAACAGCAGAAGGCACACTAGGCAGAGGTGAATGGCAATGTTTGCACCACTGAGCCGAGAGCGCGTTCTTCCTGCATCCGCATGCCGTGCACCGAGAGGTCGATGCTCGAGGTGGCGGCGGCGGCGGCGGAGGAGGGGCTGCAGTCCCCTTCCCGTTGGCATTGTTCCACGCACCGTGCCAACTTGGAACAGGCGCCATGGGCTGGGCAAGAGAAATCTGGGTGTAATCGTCTTGGGAATTGCCCCAACAGGAGCTCACAAATGCCGCAACCTCGTCTGACCTCGCACACGAGGGGATACAAGTGGGGGCCGTCTCTCCCCCTTGCCAGAAAGGTCAGGTCCTGAACCGAATCGCTACGGACTTGAACCGAAATGGCTACGGAGCCATCTCCTCCTCCTCCTCCTCCATCTCCGTCTTTCCCTCTCCTCCTCCTCCTCCTCCTCCTCCTCCTCCTCCTCCTCCTCTCCTCTCCTCCTCGTCCTCATCCTCCTCCTCCTCCTCCTCCTCCTCCTCCTCCTCCTCCTCCTCCTCCTCCTCCCCTCCCCCCTCCCTCCTCCCCCTCTCCTCCTCCTCCTCCTCCTCCTCCTCCTCCTCCTCCTCCTCCTCCTCCTCCTCGTCCGTCCTCGTCCCCTCCTCCTCCTCCTCCTCCTCCTCCTCCTCCTCCTCCTCCTCCTCCTCCTCCTCCTCTCCCTCATCCATGCCCTGGCCGAGGCCCTCGGCAAGCTGGACTCGCGCGCTGGCCCCTGCTCGCCGCTCCCCCAGTTCGGCGTGGAGGAGCTCGAAGAACCGGGGAGGCATGCAGTGGAGGCCCGCTCACTTCCCTTCTCCTTCGGAGTGTTCCGGGAAGGCCCAGAACACTTCTGAGAAGGCCGGGGGGCTTCCGAGCCTTCCGAGAAGGCCTTTTTCTTCTCGCTTTCCCCCCCCCTCGCTCGCTGCCGCGGGGGGAACGCAGAGAAAGACCGCGGAGGTGGCGGGAGGAAGCGGCCCGGCCGCCGATGGTCGGCGGGCGAGGGGCGCGCACCTGCGGCCGCAGGCACCGCGGGCGGTGTGCAGCGAGCAGCCCAGACCCCCGCACCTGCGGCCGCACCCCCCCCCCCCCGCGTCGGCCCCCAGAAGTCTCGACCTAGAATGGAGACCCATGCTAAGAAGCACCCTGCTTGCCTCCAGGGTGCCCTGGGTTTCTCGGGTTTCGATGGTTCTGCCATGGAGAGCGCGACGTTCCCACGCCAAAAATCCATGGACGTCCTGGGGTCTCAGGGTTGGGTTTCCTGTGGAAGGTTTCTTGTGTTCGAGCTCCTACTGTACAATCAACCCGCATAATAGGGGCGAGCAACGTTCCAGGGTTACCCTTGCATGCTTCCCCCTCGGCCCATCGTCGGCCACTTTGGCTGGCCGCGCCCCGTTCGCATAGTGTCGAGATGGCCTTCCAAGCTTCTTGCATCCTCTTTCGCGCGTGCTAGTTTTTACGGGTTGGCAGCACTTTCGACTCGAGCCTGCCGGAGCCCGGGCCTCTGCCGACGTCTTCTGACGGGCCCGCCCTGCGCTTCGACGGCCCGGCCTCCGTGGGGAAGGACGGCGACATGCGCAGAAGCGCTCCGAGTTCCGCGCGGGTTCTCGGATCGGCGCCGGGGCCCCCTCCTGCGGCGCCTCCGGCGCCGATCCAGGAAGTCCTCGCGGACCTCCGACGGTCTATGTTTATGCCGCTCACTCCATGCCCTGTGCGTGCCTCGGGCCGAACGACAGGGGGGGGGACAGGGAAGGGGGGGGGGGGTACGAAAATCTGCTGCACGCAGCTGGCTTCGGCCCCGCCGCCGGGCCCGCTCCTCGATACGTGGGCGCCTCCCGGCGCCGGGAGGCGCTGGGTAAATTAGCTACGTGAGCCGATTCCCTACCCTACCCTTAGGTCGGGCATGTCCCCCTACAGGCGGAGTCTGGAGGAAAAGATAAGAGTATTCAAGAAGCATTTAGAAATAGTCAGAAATCTTCAAAGAATCGTCTCCAGACTATTCTCCCCCCTGTGGAGGGACACGCCCGACTTGACCTTACTCTTTGCTCTATTCCCCCTTTTCGTACCCCCCACCGAGTGCTGCGCCGCCGCCCGCGGCTGCTCTCCGCCCCCCTCCCGCCCGTGCCCCTCCCTTCTCCTGCCGTGTGCCCACTTCGGTGCCCCGCAGGTGCCCCTCGGCCGCCTCCGACCGCGGCGTGACCATCCGTGCCGCTGCGACCCCCCCTAAAACATTTTTTTACATATATAGATATATATATATATATAATATATATATATATGATATATATATATATATATAATATATATATATAGATGCCGCCCTGGAGCCACGAGGGATAGTTATGCCGCCCTGCCCTCCTCCAGGAGTGCATGCTGCGCGTCTGCCAGCTCCTCCCCGACGCCCTCGCCGACTGCACGCACCTCGAGCTCACCAACACGCTCTGGGGCCTGGGCCGGCTTTACCCGGGCGCGGCCGGCGGCGCGACCGGCACCGCCCCACAGGTGCGCAGGGCGAGGAGGAGGAGGGGAGAGGAGGGGAGAAGGAGGAGGAGGAGGAGGAGGAGGAGGAGGAGGAGGAGGAGAAGGAGGAGGAGGGAGGGGAGGAGGAGGAGAGGAGGGAGGAGGAGGAGGAGGAAGAGGAGGAGGAGGCACCGCCCCGCAGGTGCGCAGGGCGGCGCACGCGATTCTGGGCGAGTGCACCGCGAAGATGTCCGCGCTCACGCCGCAGTGCCTGGCGAACGCCTTCTGGGCCGCGGCGCGGCTGAGGCTCAGAGGCAGAGAAGATACCGACACTCGAAGAAGAGACAACGGCATAAACGTAATCTTTTGGCGCTCCGCGCGGATCTCTTGGATCCGCGCCGGGCCCCCCCCTAGCGGCGCCTCTGGCGCCGCCCCTGGTGGGCTCTGCGCGCTGGGGAGGGGGGTCCAGCGCGGATCCAAGAGATCCGCGCGGAGCGCCAAACGTTTGTGTTTATTGTTTTTTCTTCGTCTATCATAGGCAGAGAAGGTACCGACACCGCTGCCCGTCTTGGAGGGTCCTCGTCAGAATGGATGGATTTTCCCTCAGACCCTGGCAGGGCGCACCCCGAGAGAGGTCTGGGGAGGAGCGGGATCAGAACCTTCTGAGCGTTGGCGTTAAATGGGGTCGTGAGCGCCGACATTCGCGCGTAAGCTGCCCGCCTAAAGTCGCGCGTTAGCGACCTCGTTTCCAGCGCAGCGTGCCGCGCTGGCGGGCCTGTCCGCTGAAGCCGCGGCATAAGGTGGCCGTGTCATCTCGCGTAAGACTCGTGCTTGATCGTCGCTCTGCTGATTCCCCCAGAGGATGGTCGGGCCCGGCGTCGAAGAGTTCGCCGCGCAGGCCCTGCGCTCGCTGGCGGGCGGCGCGCTCCTCGGCGCCCTCACGTCCCAGGGCGCTGCCAACGTGCTATGGGGCCTGGCCACGCTGCGGGCGGCTGGCGTCGGCAAGAGCCCGCACGACGCCACCGTCCAGCAGGCCCTCGTGGCACTCGCGCAGGTCGGGTCTCAAGAGACGGGCGTCAATGTGAACGGGGGTCAGCCTGGGGCGCTCTGACCCGGGTGAGCGTGCAGCATCCTGCTGGATCCTGCAGGATCGCGCAGGATCCTACAAGGCCTGACTGACCCGGGCTTGGACTGACCCGGGTCGGCAGATCCCCGAGCAGGTCATTTCCTCGCGCCTCGCGGACTACCAGCCGCAGGAGCCGAGGACGAGAGCAGAAGCTGGGTAGGCACAGGCTTTCGCAGGCCCCGCGCGGAGCTGTTGTACCGGCGCTGGGCCCCCCTGGCGGCGCCTGTGGTGCGCTCCGCGCGCCAGTCGAGAGGGGCCCAGGCACCGACTCGGGAACTCCTCGCGCCCCGGGACGATGTCTGAAGCCACCGATGGCCCCAGGGACCCACTGAAGCCCCGGGGCCCAGTATCGCAGGCCTGGAGGTTGACACCCGCACCAGTATCGGCGTTGTGCCTCCGCCGAGGGGCGAAGATCCCGATCTCCTCGGTGACGGTGTGAATGTTCTGGCTTCCAAGGTGGCCGAGCTCTTGCCGCAACTGCCACCAACACCGACATCCAGGATCTTCTTCTCCCTGTGGAGGGACCCCCCTGTGTTGCTGTCGGTGCTGGTGCCCATCTCCAGGCCTCCAGCAGCAGTTTTTTTTCCTCCCCCCTCCGAGGAGCTGAGCATGGTGGCGTGGTCGTTCGCGAAGCTGTACGAGTCGTCGAAGGCCAGGGGAGCGCAGGGGGAGCGCTCGGCCAGCAGGCGGCCGCCGGAGGTGGACGAGATGCTGCTGAGGCTGGCCGAGGTGGCGGCGTGGAGCGTCGACAGCTTCGAGGCCCAGGGGATCTCGAACATCGCTTGGGCGTTGGCGACGCTCGAGCTCACGGACTGGACGCCCGATATGGCACCGGTGCGGAGCTTCTTCGAGGCTGCCATGCACAGTTCTATTGGCAAGCTGGGGAGCTACTCTTCACAGGCAGTCGCGAACTTGCTGTGGGCCTGCGTTCGGGTAAGGTTCCCTGACGTAAGCAGGAAGGGCAAGAAGTTCATCGGCCAGTTCTGCTCAGCTGTCGCCGAGGAGATGATGGCGCGCATTACTAGAGGTCTCGACGGAGTTACCTGGAGGGACCTATCTGGCGTTGCGATCGCACTGATGCACAGCAAGAAGAGGTCACTAGCCGTGTTGAATTACATGACCTTCTTGGTATATCGGACGACAGAGCAGGTGGAGCAGGGGGTACTCTCGCCCCAGCAGATACTTAACATCGCCCAGGCGGCTGCCCGTATGCAGATACCTCAGGAGAACATGCAGAAGCTCGTGGACACCATTGAGAGCCGCGTCCTGACTGGCCGCCTGCAGTTCAACGAGCTCGACTGGCGCCAGTGGCAGGGTGTGCAGCAGTGGTGCCCGCCACAGGGTGTTTACATCGGGGCCACGGGTGTGCACCAGCAGCAGTGGTGCCCGTCGGCGGGTGTCTACATCGCAGAGGTCGGCGCCCACCAACAGCAGCAGTGGCGCCCAAAGGCAGAGGTCTACGCCGGAGACGTGGGTGCCCACGTGCAGCAGTGGTGCCCGCCAGCCGAGGTCTACAGCGCAGACCCGAGCCCGAACGGGCAGCAGTGGTGCTCATCGACGCCCGCGGCCACCTTCCGGGCGGCAGACACCCCGACCTGCGTCCACGTGAGGTGATCGGCTGCTCCCTGTCCCTCCCACCTCGCCCCCTCGCCCCGGCGTGGGGGCGCTGGCGAGTTTGGGGACTCTGCCCGCCCTCCTGCCTCCCTCTCGCTCTCTCTCTCTCTCTCGATGACCCTCAGGACGCGTGTTGGTCCGAGCGTGTGCTCACCCCACTCGCTGCCTCTGCAGCGCGCAGCCGGCGCCGGCCCTCGCTGCGCCGCTCGCGTCGTACGGAATCGGGGGGTTCGGCGCTGGGGGCGAACAGCCCGGGGGGCGGGCGTTGCACGTGTTCGCTGGGGAGCCTCGCCGAAGGCATGGGGCCATCGGCGCCCCTGGATTCGTGTGTTGCTCTCCCCTGGCGGGTCGACGCTGATAGGAGGAAGAGGAGGAAGAGGAGGAGGAGGAGGAGGAGGAGGAGGAGGAGAATGAGGAGTGAAGAGGGATGATGATGATTATGATGATGATGATGATGATGATGATGATGGTGATGGTGATGGTGATGGTGATGGTGATGATGATGATGATGATGATGATGATGATTATGATGATGATGACTTAGGTGGCAAATGATGGGAGCTTTCTTTTTCACCCAATGGTGTCTTGCTTCCTGCTTTGTGATCATTTTGTGTGTATTAGTGTTGTTTAGTGTTGCGTAGCGTTGCTCGTGCACGCCGGTCGGTGCGCGCGCGCGGCATCGTAGTTGTGCGTGTGCGAGCAATGCCAGATTCCTAAGATCGGCCGCAACCTTTTTCAAATTTCCTTTCTTCCTGTCCCTCACGCAGGCGAACTATATTGCACTAAATTGTCTTAAACGCAACTAAATTGCACTACATTGCACTAGTGTGGGGCGCACTAAACGCCACTAACTTGCACTAAATGGCCCTAAATTGCACTCGATTGCACTAAATTGCGCTAAACGCAGCGAAATTGCACTAGACGCCACTCAATTGTACTAAATTGCATTAAATTGCACTAGCGTCTCCCGCCGCGCCACACTAAACGCCACTGAATTGCGCTAAATTGCACTCGTGTGGGGCGCACCAAACGCCACGAACTTGCACTAAATTGCACTAAACGCCACTAAATTGCACTACGCGCCACTAAATTGCACTAAATTACGTTAGATTGCACTAGCGCCTCCCGCCGCGCCACACTAAACGCCACTCAATTGCGCTAAATTGCACTAGTGTGGGGCGCAGGCGATGCTAAGTTTGACAAACGAAGCTCCCATCATATGCCACCTAAGATTATGATGATGATGATGATGATGATGATGATGATGATGATGATGATGCTGCTGATGCTGATGATGATGATGATGATGCTGATGATGATGATGATGATGATGATGGTGATGGTGGTGGTGGTGATGATGATGAGGACGAGTGAGGAGGGAAGATGTTGTTGTTGTTGTTGTTGCTACTGCTGCTGCCGTTGTTGTTGTTGTGGTTGTTGTTGTGGTTGTTGTTGTTGTGGTTGTGGTTGTGGTTGTGGTTGTGGTTGTGGTTGTGGTTGTTGTTGCTGCTGCTGCTGATGATGATGATGCTGACGATGCTGACGATGACAATGACGATGATGATGATGATGATGCTGATGATGATGCTGATCTGAGGATTAATGATTGAACATGATGATGATGACATGATGATGATGATAGCCTGATGACGCTGATTATATGATGCGGATGCTGATGCTGATGATGATGATATATGAAGATGATATTATGATGATAATTGATGCTGGGAAAATTTTTTTTGCAGATGCAGATGCGTTCATTGCTGATAGCTGAATCGACGGCAAAGCAGCTGCTGAGGATATGATGAGGATGAGATAGGAATGAGGATAAAGATGATGACTAGATGATATGAGATGAAAATGATATGATAGATGATATGATGATATGATGATGATGATGATGATGATATGATGATGATGATGATGAGATGAGGAGAGGAGGAGGAGAGGAGAGGAGGGGGGAGGAAGGAGATGAGAGGAGGAATGGAGAGGATGAGGAGGGAGAGGGTGGGAGGAGGAGGGAGGAGGACAATGAGGAAGGGAGGGAAGGAGGGAGGAGGGAGGAGGAGGAGTAGGAGGGAGGAGGGAGAGGAGGAGGAGAGGGATGAGGGAGGAGGTGATGAGGGAGAGGGAGGAGGGGAGGAGGAGGAGGTCAGGAGGAGGAGGGAGGAAGGTATGGAGGAGGGAGGAGGAGAGGGAAAGGAGGGAGGAGGGAGAGGGAGGAGGGAGGAGGCGAAGAGATGGAGGGGTAGGAGGGACGATGGAGAAGGATGGATGGGAGGAGGAGGAAGGGAGAGGTAGGAGGGAGGAGGGAGGAGGAGGGAGGAGGAGGAGGAGGGGCGAAAGGAGGTAGAGGAGGCGGAGGTGGGAGAGGAAAAGGGAAGGAGGGAGGGAGGGAGGGAAAGTAGGAGGGTGGAGGGAGGAGAGGGAGAGGGGAGGGAGAAGGAGGAAGAGAGAGTAGAGGAGAGAGGAGGGAGAGAGGAAGGAGAGGGAGGAGGGAGAGAGGAGGAGAGGTAGGAGGAGTGGGAAGGAGGGAGGAGAGAGGGAGGAGGAGGGAGCGAGGAGAGAGGAGGAGGAGGAGGCGGAGGAGGAGGAGGAGGAGGAGGAGGAGGAGATGTATTGCTCTCCCCTGGGCTGTTCGTCTCCGTCGCCGTTCCCGATGGAAGGGCCTCGGCGGCCGAGCACGCGCTGGCGCGAAAGCTTTTGTATTTCGGCGCCAGCGGGCGCCGGGTGCCAGGAAATCGCTCGGCGGCGGGGCGTGCCGGGTGCGGGCGCACGAGCGGGGGGAAGATGGGGGGTCCCCAAACGGGGTGGTGACCACACCGTGTGGTGAGCCAGATGCGGGGTCACCGCACGGACTTGGGGCTCGGGTCGTCCTCCGAGGACGTCTCGGGCGACCTGGGGCATCCGAGGTCCCGGAACCGTGCGTTGGCGGACCGTGCGGTGAGGTCTTGGAGGATTTCGAGGTCACGGCACTCCAAGGAAGAGCAGAGAACGGCCGCGGAGGAGGCGGGAGTCGGCGGCGAGCGAGGGGGGGAACGGATAAGGAGGAGACCTTTCTTCTCAGAGGGCGGCGGGATTTCTCAGGAACCCTTGAGCGCCTTCTCAGAAGCCTTTTTTGTGTCTTCGGGGAAGGCCCAGGAGACTCCTCAGAAGGCCCGGGGTGCCTCCGAGCCTTCCAAGAAGGCCTTCTCCTTCTCGCTTCCCCCCTTCGCTCGCCGCCGAGGGGGAAAGAGCAGAGAGCGGTCGCGGAGGAGGCGGGAGGAAGCGGCCCGGTCGCTGAGGGTCGGCGGGCGAGGGGCGCACACCTGCGGCCGCAGGCACCGCGGGCGGTGTGCAGCGAGCAGCCCAGACCCCCCCCCGCGTGGTGTTTGTTCCCAACCATCTTATGGTGTTGGGTCCTCGTTTTGACGAGAAAGCGCCCTTCGTTCCTCCTTCATTCCTCCCCCTCCCCCTCCTCCTCCTCCTCCTCCTCCTCCTCCCCCTCCTCCTCCTCCTCGTCGTCCTCCTCCTCCTCCTCCTCGTGGCCCCATAGGGAGCTACACCGAAAGCCCCAGTGGGCAAGTTCGCATGGCACCGCCGCCCCATTTCGGCACACCCGTCACACGTTTCGTGGCCCCATAAGGAGCTTCACCTGAGGCCCCAGTGGGAAAATTCGCAGGCACCGCCGCCCCATTTCGGCTCACACGTTTCGTGGTCCCATAGGGAGCCCCACCGAAAGCTCCAGTGGGCAAGTTCGCATGGCACCGCCGCCCCATTTCGGCACACCCGTCACACGTTTCGTGGCCCCATAGGGAGCCCCACCTAAAGCCCCAGTGGGCAAGTTCGCATGGCACCGCCGCCCCATTTTGGCACACCCTTCATGCGTTTCGTGCCCCCCCATAGGGAGCTACACCTACAGCCCCAGTGGGAAAGTTCGCAGGCACCGCCGCCCCATTTCGGCACATCCTTCATGCGTTTCGTGCCCCCCCATAGGGAGCCCCACCGAAAGCCCCAGTGGGCAAGTTCGCATGGCACCGCCGCCCCATTTCGGCACACCCGTCACACGTTTCGTGGCCCCATGGGGAGCTCCACCGAAGGCCCCAGTGGGAAAATTCGCATGGCACCGCCGCCCCATTTCGCCACACCCCTCACGTTTCGCGATCCCATAGGTAGCTACACCGAAGGCCCCAGTGGGAAAGTTCGCATGGCACCGCCGCCCCATTGCGGCACCCCTTACACGCTTCGTGGCCCCATAGGGAGCTCCACCGAAGGCCCCAGTTGGAAAGTTCGCATGGCACCGCCGCCCCACTCTGGCACACCCCTCACAAGTTTCGTGGCCCCATAGGGAGCTCCGCCGAAGGCCCTGTGGGCAGGTTCGCATGGCACCTCCGCCCCATTTCGGCACACCCCTCACACGTTTCGTGGTCCCGTGGCACCGCTGCCCAATTTCGGCACACCCTTCAATCGTTTCGTGGCCCCATAAGGAGCTCCACCTAAGGCCCCAGTGGGCAAGTTCGCATGGTACCGCCGCCCAATTTCGGTACACCCCTCACACGTTTCGTGGCACTAGGGAGCTCCACGGAAGGCCCCAATTGCGACCTTCGCAGGCGTCTTCCCGACTCATGTCGGCACCTTCTTCACACGTTTCGTGGCAGAAGGCTATACCGCGTGCACTGCTCGGAGTTTGCACGCCCCCCTCATTCGTCTCATCTCCCTCGTGGCACTCGCAGCTGCATGTGGCTGGGCCCTTCGTCCGGCTAATTTCATGGCGTCGGCCCCCACAAGGCTCGACCTAAAGTGGAGATCCATGCCAAGAAGCACCCTGCTTGCCTTCAGGGTGCCCTGGGTTTCTTGGGCTTCGATGGTTCTGCCATGGAAAGCGTGACGTTCCAACACCAAAAATCCATGGACGTCTTGAGGTCTCAGTGTTGGGTTTCCTGTGGAAGGTTTCTTGTGGACTGGCCTCCACTATACTCCCTGGGACTGGTTTTTCCTCCTGGTCGTTCTCTGACGGCCCCGAGGCCCGCTATAGGGGCCCCCAGAGGCCGAAACTTGTGACTCTCTCATGGCCCGAGGGGGTCTGGGAGAGGAGCAGCAGGTGATGGGCCTGTCTTTCCACCACCACCACCACCATGAGTTGGAGGGGGGAGAGGGGTCCTCCTCGCCCTCTTCTTCTTCCTCTTCCTCATCCTCCTTCTCCCCTCGGGCGAAGAGAACTATGCACATGCACCGATCCTGGCAAGGCCCATCCTTGACCCAGGACCGGTGCATGTGCCTTCCTGGCCAAGGCAGGAGGGCGTATGCACCGATACTGGGCTCAGGATGGGCCTGGCCAGAATCGGTGTATGAGCATAGTTCTCTTTCCTGTCCCCCCTCCAACTTCTGGTGGTGGTGGTGGTGGAACACGGGCCCGTCAGCAGGTTGAGGTGGACCGGGCAGACTCGGTGGACGAGCACACGCCAGCGCCAGCACGCACGTCCCGATGGGGTCCCGTGCTCTCCTCCCTTGCTCCTCCCTCGGCATCCGCGCGCGGGCCGCTCGCCCGCCCACCTCGCTCGCGCGAGCTCCCTGCACGCCTCATGAGTTTTAAGTCGGGCATGTCCTTCTACAGGAGGAATACTCAGCAACATAAAAAAAAGAAAACAAACAAATCTAAGAAACAAAATAAGGAATATTTATTAATGGTCAAAATATGGTCCGGGTGCGATGTTCTGCGCAGGCTCGACCATCTTGGGGTATCTGTTAATTTCTATTCTTTTTTGTTCGAACTCCTGTGGGGGGACACGCCCGACCCCGCACTAGTTGCCTCCTGCGGAGACGCGACCGCGCGACGAGCGCCCTGGGCACGGGGGCGCTCGGAGGAGACGCGGAGCTTGGCATCGCCCCGACGTGTCGATCGCTTCCCTCGGCGAGGGCCGCCGAGGAGCATCCAGGAAGGGGAAAAGACACACACAGACACGATTCATCGCCGATTCCCTAGAAAATATCGGGATAGATGGGAAGTGGGGGGAAGACGAAAACCCAGAAAACATGGGAAAATATAGGGAATCCTGTTATTTGTGTCTATCTATTCGTGTGTCCCAGGGCCCCTTCAATTTGGCAAGAAGAGCACCCACGGAACCAACCAGTACATGGGGAGTGGACGTGCGAGCGATGGCAGGGGAGGAGGAGCGGCACAAGAGGTTACAGCCAAGGTGCATGGGAAAGATGAGCAGTTTCCCAAGGCTGCCTTCGCATCCTGGCCTCTGCGGCCCATCCCTGACGACTTCTCGCTGGCCAGCCCCGCTCGGGGGACGCCCACGTGGGCCTCCAAGGCCCCTGCATCATCCTTACCGCGCATCCTCGCGATGCGGCTTGGCTGCAGAGGTTTTCGGCTGCTTTCGCTCCCTCCCGGCGGTTCCCCTGCCTCCGGAGGCATCTTCGGCAGCTGCGCCTCGCCGAGAGGCTGCTCGGGGGGTGGCCGCCGCCGGGGAGCCGAGTCCTGGCCCGAACGCGGGGGGGGGGGGGGCAGCGATTGGGGGGGGGGATGGGCTCGGGGGTCGATGCGTCGACCCTCGATCGCCCATTCATCGCCGATAGGGGCCCGATAGCCCAAACCTGCCAAGTCCGTGCGGATTCGCTGTCGGGGCCCATCGCCGATCCCTCGGCGAGGCATCGCCGGTTCCAGGTCGATGCCCCCCCCCATCCCCCGGGGCTGGTGCCCCTCCGTCGCTGCCCCTTCGCGGAGGAGCAGGAGCGGCACGAGGGGGGGGGGCAGAGGACGGAGCGGGGGGGGGGGGGGAACGGGCCAGGACATCCGCCGAGGTGCTCGCTTCCACCCGCGGGCCCCGAGGTCCCGGCCCCTTCCCCCCCCTGGGGGGTGCGTCTTTTCCATCCGCGGGCCCATCTCTGGCGGTCCCGGGCCCGGCCACGGCCCCCCCCCAGGGGCCGAAGGCAACGGGCAGGGACATCCGCCAGACTGAGAGCCTCAGACCCTCGGCCAAGCCTGTGGTGCTCCAACCTACTTCAGCCTTGATCGCCACAGCGAATTTCGAGCACCACAGAAGTACCGAGACTCCAGGGTTTTCACGTGTCGGGCCCTGGGAGGCACTCGTCCGATGCTGTTTCGACAGTGTTTCGGCACTTTTTCGACACCTGTCTGGGTGCTCGAGATTCTTCCTGGGAGCAACATGCGGCCACGCGCGCCAGTCCCGCGCTGCGGCGCCCTCGCTTTCGCCACCGCGCCCCTGCCCTGAAGTCGGGTCTGTCCCTCTACAGGAGGAATTTTCAAAGACAGTTAAACCATGCTCTGGGGACATGCTTTTCTTTTTTGTGTAAAAACCTATGGTTAATGTTTTTGTTGAGCATATTTTGGTGTCTATTTCCGTGTCTATTTTTAACATGTTTCGCCCAACAATTCCGCCCGTAGGGGGACACAAGCCCGACCCAACCCTGCCCCGCAGTGCCCGCGCGCCCAGGGAGGGGCGCGAGGGCTCTGGCGCCGGGGCCCCTGCCTCGGGGGGTGGACAGCCCTCCTCTGCCCTGACGCGCCGACGACGGCGACTTGGGCGCTCGCGGTGCTCGCGAGAGAGGGCGCCGCGGCCGCTCCTTGGTATGTGCGGGCCCAGGCCCGTCGGTTCTGGTCCCAGGCCGCTGTCGCTGCAGGGCGGTCCGCGACAGGGAGGTCTGTCCACCGCCGACACCGCCACGGATGCCGCGGGCGCCGCGGCCCGCGCTTCCGGCGCACCGGCGAGGGGCCCACAGCCCCCTCGGCCGAGAGCGCCCCCGCGGCGCCCGCGTCCGCGGCAGAGCGGCGCGAGGCCCTGGCAGTGCGCAGCGAGTGCCCGCGCTGGCAGAGGGTCGTTGAACCGGTCCCCATCCCCATCTTCGGATGCAACTCCTGGGAGGTCAAATTCGGATGTTGCCCTGGTCCGAAGTCCAGCTTTATCCGGCTTGAGCCGGCTAGATCCCGCGTAATCCAGCTTAATCCCGCTTAATCCAGCTTAATCCCGCTTCATCCGAGGCCCTCTCCGGCGTAACAGCCCCCCAATATGGGGTCTATCCTCTCTAATCCTTCCGACGAAGACCTCCCAGTAGTTGCCTCCTAACCCGTCCCCATCCCCTTCGAGACCTCCACCAAATTACGTCCCCAGTTGGGGATGCACCCCTCGAACCCCGAAGGGGACGGCCTACATTTCTATTTAGGGGGGTAGATCGGCCAGGGGGGCCTAGGCCACGCCGCCGGGGATGGGGGTCGGATAAACGATGCTCACAGGACCCCGGTGAGGGGGAGCGGGCTACAGTACACCGGGGACGGCAAAGAGGGGGGCGATGACTAGGGGGGTGGCCATCATGGCGTGGGCCAAGATATTTCCCCGGATTTCATGGCGCCTCTTCTC